TTTTTTCCCCACAGGCTGCGGGATGATGGGGGGTCCCCCCCTCGCCCCTCCCCCCTCCGGCCCGGGCTGGCCCTGGGGGGTTTCGCTCCTCAGGGTGGGGGAGGGGCGGCCCCGCTGCGGGGGGGCCCTGGTGGGCGGGGCCTGGGTGCTGACGGCGGCCAGCTGCTTCATCGGGTGAGAAAAACCCCAAAAATCCCCAAATTTAACCCAAAAATACATCCCAAAATAACCCTGAAATAGCCAAAAAAATCCCCAAAAAAATTGACCCAAAATAACCCAAAATTCACCCAAAATTCACCCTGGTGGGCGGGGCCTGGGTGCTGATGGCGGCAGCTGCTTCATCGGGTGAGAAAAACCCCAAAAAACCCCAAATTTAACCCAAAAATACATCCCAAAATAATCCGGAAATAACCACAAAAAAACCCGAGAAAAATTGACCCAAAATAACCCAAAATTCACCCAAAATCACCCAAAGTAACCCAAAATTAACCCCAAATTCACCCTGATGGCGGCAGCTGCTTCATCGGGTGAGAAAATACCCAAAATTTACCAAAATCCCCGGAATTTAACCCAAAATATTCCCCAAAATAATCCGGAAATAACCACAAAAAAACCCCAAAAAAATCCGCCCAAAATAACCCAAAATTCACCCAAAATAACCCAAAATAACCAAAAATTAGCCCCAAATTCACCCTGACGGGAGCAGCTGCTTCATCGGTTGAGAAAATACCCAAAATTTACCAAAATCCCCGGAATTTGCCCCAAAAATACATCCCAGAATAGCCAAAAAAAATCCCCCAAAAAATCCACCCAAAATAACCCAAAATTCACCCAAAATAACCCAAAATCACCCAAAATCACCCCAAATTCACCCTGAGGGAGGCAGCTGCTTCATCGGGTGAGAAAAAACCCCAAAATCCCCAAATTTAACCCAAAAATACATCCCAGAATAGCCAAAAAAATCCCCAAAAAAATCCTCCAAAAATAACCCAAAATCACCCCAAATTCACCCTGGTGGGCGGGGCCTGGGTGCTGACGGCGGCCAGCTGCTTCATCGGGTGAGAAAATACCCAAAAAACCCCAAATT